TGGTGGTGGTGGTGGAGGAGGAGGTTTCAAGTTTGGCTCCTCGGCCGGATCCGGGTTTCAAGGCTCGGATTGAAAACAACTTCGGGGCATTCGAACATCTAACAGTCCGAACTTGAAGGCTCTTCGGAATTTTGGTTTAGGGTTTAGGGGTTTAGGATCTAATGCTGATCACACAAATGGGAGGTTCCGAAAATTAGGGGTACTTTATTTTGGGGTCCTTATAATAAGGATCCTACCATTTAGGGTGCTATATTAGGGTCCCCTATTTTCGGAAATTGCTCGAGAAGCAGGCCAGCCCTGCGTTTTCGCGGCGAACGGACGTCATTATCCCCCGCCCCCACACCCTGTCTGGTGCTTAGTAGGGAATGGGGGAATGGGTTATAGGGACTATAAGGGACCTTAAGGGAATATCATAGGGATCCACTCCCCCATTCCCTACGAAAGCACCAGACAGAACCTTCCGCCCCCCGTTTCCCACCCCTCCAACCCCCACACACTCCGCGGGAAGCATCGTGAACATGCCTGGCACCCTCTGCGCTCGCAAGACTTTAACACATGTTGACATCAGCCCCCCCCCCCCCACACCCCCTCAGCCACCTCCAAGGCAACGAGAAACACCAAGGTCTGACAGAAAGAAAAACCCGCAAATCCTAAAACAAACAGAACGCCGAAGAGAAGTCTTCAAGCAGATGGCCAGCAAAGCAGCAAAAACCCGGTGCAAACAGAGATTCAAACCAACTCCCTAAGAAACGCAGTGGCCGCTCACGGCCCGGTGTCCAACTATCCTTGGTCTACACCTTCTCACCAGCACCTCGTTTCATACAGTCTTGGGGGCGGTTTCTCATTGTCCTAGCACCTTTCTGTCTGGTGCTTAGTAGGGAATGGGGAATGGATCCCTATGATATTCCCTTAAGGCCCCTTATAGTAGTCCCTATAACCCATTCCCGACTAAGCACCAGACAGCTTTGGTCTAGCAGGTTTTTTCTCCAACAGGATCGGAGGGATGGTGGGGAGGGAACAACATCGCTTGGAAAGGGGGAAAGGGGATCGTCTCAACAACTCTTAGTTCCCAGCCCGCATTTGGCAATCGCAGTCGGCAGGCAGCTTGGCTACTCCTAGTATTGTGCATTTTGGTGGTCGTCGTCGTCCTTACTATGTTGCTCTTGTTGTTGCCGTTGCCGTTGCCGTTGCCGTTGCCGTTGCCGTTGCCGTTGCCGTTGCCGTTGCCGCTGCCGCTGCGGCTGCTGCTGCTGCTGCTGCTGCTGCTGCTGCTGCTGCTGCTGCTGCTGCTGCTGCTGCTGCTGCTATTGCTGTCGTGGTTGCTTTAGCTGTTGGTTGTTGCTGTTGTTGTAGCTGTTGTTGTCGTTGTCGTTGTCGTTGTCGTTGTCGTTGTCGTTGTCGTTGTCGTTGTCGTTGTTGCTGCTGCTGCTGTTGGTGTTGTTGTTGCTGTTGTTGTTGCTGTTGTTGTTGTTGTCGCTGTTGCTCGTGTTGTGTTTGTTGCTGGTTGTGGCGGTGGTGCTGCTGCTGCTGCTCCTGCGTGTGCTGCTGTTGCTTCTGGTGCTAGTGGCGGCGGTGGTGGTGGTGGTGGTGGTGGTGGTGGTGGTGGTGGTGCTGCTGCTGCTGCTGACACTGCCGTTGCCATTGTCGCTGCTGTTGCCGTTGCTGTCGTCGTGACAGTGATGGTAGCAGCAGTCAGTACCAGCCTAGATAAAGCAGGAGAGGCGGTTGCAGTTGCAGTAGGGTTAGTATGACCAACGACAGGAGACAGTGGTTGAAAACTACTACAAGTATGGCTTACAGCAGGATCGGTATCGGTGGTGTCTGGTCGGTTTGATGCAGCCAGGCTGGATGGCCTCGGTACTACGTAGTGATGACATCCTGACAAAGTCTCCGTGGTGCTTGCAACAGCCCATCACCCTCGAACCCCAAAACCCCAGCCAAGCTCCAAGAGCACAAAGCAAATCCCCAACATTTTGTCCATGTCTCTGCCAACGTGAAGTCTGCTCTAGCCAGCTGCAGTCTCCGGAGCACTCTCAAGTGGCCGTTTCCTTGGAAGGACAGCTTTGACTCTTGGTGTGGCATGCTAAACCCTCCGGAATGCGTTTCGGAGTAGAGGCGAAGAGGCAGTCTTCAAGCGCAGTCCGTTTCAATGCTGAGGGGCGAGAACAGACAGAAACTTTGTTCAGGCGAGAAAAGCCCACGGAACTACAGGGATAGGAGACGAGGTAGCCCTAGCGAATGCATCCACCTGCATCATCAAGATAGCACTCGGCACGGGAACATGCACGAGACACTACTATCAGCCAGGGCACTACCAATAATCGACTCTGCAGCAGTCACAGCCAGACATCCAGCGAAGATTGCGAAAAGATGCGACAACCACACGGGTGAGCGAAGCATTTGAGGCATGGCCCGGTGAGCGAAATGCTATAGTATATTCGCATACCTGTAAGATAGTATACTCGAATATATCACAATATAATATGGTATAGTTCGCAGTTCGCAGCAAAGAATGCCAACCAACATAAATCTCATAGAAACCGAATGGAAGCAAACACACATAAACCCTGCAAAACGAAACCATTTACACCTCTACAAGAAATCCACAAAAAGGAGTAAACCCAAAACGCTCTGAACAAGACTCGCAAACAAGCCACGCTCAACCCCATGTAAATCCTTTCCAAACCTGCCGCCCCAAACCCCATACAAGTACCAAGCTAAACCTCAATGGAACATTTACAGAACCCTTAAACCCTTCCACAAAGGAACCTTTTCAACTCCCTTCGCACCCTAGCAAAGGTGTCCGATCCCAGCGGCGGCTCGCTTTGCAAGCCGCCGTCTCCCCCCGCTTATCGCGGACGTTAGCATCGACGGACTCGAGCTCCTGGCGCTGTCTTTAGGGTTTAGGGTTTAGGGGAAAACCACTGGGTTCAAGAGCTGTTCTTGCTACCATGGATTCGTGGGGTAGAAGGGCCTTAATAGTTAGACCAAGGTTTTCGAGGCTTGAGGCTTTGAGGACATTTCTTGTTCGGAACACCCCAGTCTTATGTTATTATCGTCGTATCCTGACACGCCGGGCCTGATGACAGAATGCGCGTAAATACAATAAGGATGCTCAAAGGAACTCCATGCTTAGAGAACCGATCAATGCCAGAACAAGGGCCATCACCACCAGACTAACTGTGACTACCTGCTACGGGCACGTTGGCATGGGTTTCTGACAGCCAAGAACACATGAAGGCAATAGACCCATTGCCACGACCAAGACAAGCCACTGCACGGATAGCACGAGGTGAACATTCTCGAGACGTTCTGAGCATCGCTGTCATCTGTATCTAGTTTGCATGCGTCGTTCACATCGTCGACCATCTCTTCTTACCTGTCGTCGTGGCATTGTCTTCGCCACCCGTAGCTGCAGCACTGGTGTCACTGGTGCTGCGGAAACACGAAAACTAACCGCTTGAAGTGTTTCCACCGTAGTGAGACATGGGGACCCTGGCACTCCAACACGCCCCTAAATCCCTAAACCCAAACCCCTAAACCCTAAACCCTAAACCCTAAACCCTGAACCCTAAACCCTACACCCTAACCCCCCCCCCCCTCAACCCTAACTTGTAACCTTAGAACCCAGTTCCTTGCCTTCTCCACCAGCAGCTCATCGTCTCGCTCGGCCTGGTGAGAGGCGGGCTTGCTGATCTGATGCTATCCTACGATTATTGTTCAGGTTCTCTTTCTGGGCTGAAGCGCTCACGTCTTTTCTAGACCCCAGAAACCCTAAAGCCCTAAACCCNNCTAAACCCTAAACCCTTCTCAAAACGAAAGCACTTGATATCCCGGAACCTTCCATCCGAAAGCCGCAGCACTAGGATCCTTCGGTCATCTCACAGCCAAGGATTTCTGGAAACCTGCTCATCGGGGGCCCTCTAATTATAATTAGAAATAGAAAAATCTTTAATTTTTTGTATTTTAAAAATTTATAAGTATATTGTTTCTATAAATACTTCTATTCCCCCACAGAAGGTAGAGGCCTTGCATGTACTTGGATCTTGTCGCCTTGCTGGGATGTGAAGGGTTAGGATTTAAGGCCCCCTGGACTGAGCGCTGTGGGGTTCGGGTTTGGTAGCAACTGTCTCTTTGCGCAACAAGCCCCGGTAAAGAGTCGCTAAACAGAACCATGTACATGTACTTATAAGCAACAGCGCTCAAGCCACAACACCCTTCACCCGAAGCCCCAAAAAAACGCAAGCCCTCACCCCTTTCCCTATTTCGCAAAACAAGCCCGTTTCCGTCTCGGCCCCTATTTTTGTTTTTTGTTGGAGGGGGTCGGGGTGCAGGGGGGGGGGGGGGGGGGGG